GGCACTTCCGGTTCAACAGGGTCTAGACAGTCTTCTAGTCAAATGGCGGGCTTGCAGTTCAGCCCGTTGACCCCGCGTGAGAGGGAGCTCAGAGAGATCCAACAGGTCGAGAGGCTCCGCCAACAGTTAGAGGTGGATCTGAAGAAAGCAACCGATAGAGAAAAAGAGATAAAAAGTGGAGCAGCCAGACTGGATACGGTAGAGGCTGACAAGGCTGCGTTAGAGGGATTGGACGAATCAAGTTTGTCTGACCCCCTGAAAGTGTTGAGGGACAACATGTTGTCACTGCATGCACATGTAGACAGCAGGATGGACTTCATGCAAAGCACTTTGGACCAGATCCTGGATGCATTGACAAAGCCAGGATTCCGGCCACCAGCACAATCGTCGTTGCCGTTAGGCGATGTCAGGTCCCTTTGCCGTACAAATTGGCACACAACCAAGTGGTACGTCTGCAACAGCCCCACAGACTGTTACATCTTCTTCTTCGGATCCATCGGTGGTTGCTACACCACCGCAACAGACTAGTCCTCCACAAGGACAACCGCAAGGTCAATGGTATCCAAAGACCCCAATGAAACCGCCTCTTGCCTTCTCAGGTGAGAGAAAGGACGAAGAACTCAACACATGGTTGAGGACAGTCCCGGTTTGGGTGAAGGCCAAAAGGACCTTGCCTGAGGATGAAGTGGTAACTGCGGCGTCTTACCTAGAGGGTAAGGCAGCCAAATGGTTAGATGGTGTAGTTGTGAAGGCCGGGTATGGGCGTCGCATGGCGGATTGGGCTAAGTCATTGACTTTAGACCAATTCATGGAGATGGTAGAAGCTCGATGGCATAACCCCCAGAAGGCTCAAAGGGTCACTGATGCCATTAACAAACTTGACCAACGCAAGTTCAGTAAGGAGCTTATGACTACCGTCGAGAGCCTGATCCTCGTCCCAGGCATCAACTACAGTGACCAGTTCCTCTTAACCACGTTTGTTAGGTGTCTACGTGAGAACATGAGGAACTTACTAGCCAGTGAGGCACGCACTGAGTTCCACTTATTTGAGACATTGTCTAGGAAAGCCTTAGACTTAGAGGCCACGCTAGGCAATGCTCAACCCACCTCATGGAATGACTCAAAGAAGAAGAAGAGTCCTCAGGAGTGGAAGAAGAAGGGGGCGAAGTTGATGATGGTTGAGTCTGATGGGACTCAAACTGAGATTGATGAGCTCTCTGACCTGATGGACTACTCAGAGTATGATGACGAGGAGGTAGCTGAGGGTAGCACCCTTGCCGCGGTAGTAAAGTCTAAGGCATGTGGCCGAGGGAAGGGCTAGCCTAGGAGTCAAGGGAAGGCCGCCTCCAATCAGACCAAACAGTCTGAGTGGGTAAAGGCAGGTCTTGATCAAGACGTGTGGCGTGACCGTCGAATGCGTGGCGCTTGCATCAATTGCGGAGAATATGGACACACGCAGTGGAAGTGTCAGAACGCTAAGGTTACGCAAAAGGTTGCTCCAAAAGTAGGGACAATCTATTCCCAGGTTTCTAGCTCGGGAAACGCGCAGGGCCAGTGGAAGTAGTAGCGGCTTCTACTCGAGATGAAGTGGGATTGATACCCTCCTCACTTCATGACAAGGTTGAAGCTAACGACTCCTTAGTCACCCCGCAGACACAACTAGACCAAACTATGCTTTGTACGTTAGATGTGTTTGTGGCCTTAGAAGACTTAGAAGGCGAGTGGTCAAACAAGGATCCTCGCGAGTCTTGGGTGGCGCTAAAGAAGGGTCCTAGAGGGGAACATTTCGTGGTGGAAATGGATGTAGGAGGCCGCAAATGTGGAGCCTTCATAGACAACGGATCCACGCGAAATTACATAAGTCGCGATTGTTTGGAAAGGATGCATCTACAGGACCGGGTACGGCACCTTAGTAAACCAGTAGCATGTACTTTGGCCAACAAAGAGCGCATGATTGTTACAGACTACATCAAGGACGAAGTCTGTACCTTCTCCTATGGAGGAGGAGAGCTTAACCATAAGATCTCGTTCTTGGTTAGCGACGACTTGCCATCCGAAATGTTGTTAGGCATGTACTACCTCGAAGTTGTTAAGCCCCAGTTCGATTGGGATAAGAAGGTGCTCAAGCAAAAGTTGCCCGATGGCCGAAATGTCAGATTGACTAAGTTCAAGGCCAACCGTATTGTAGATACCTATGGTTGCTTGTGTGCATCAGCGTTTTACAACTATTACAAGCAAAACAAAGAGGAGGGTATGTACCTTGTTTATGTCTTTGAGAAGGGAGAGGCCGTTAAAACACCCCCAGAGATAGAACGTGTCGTTGCTAAGTTCCCTGATCTGTTCGAGGAGCCCACAAGAGTTGTTGATAGGGAAGTCGTCCACGCTATAGAAATCATTCCAGGGAGTAAGACCCCAAAGGGAAGGATCTATATGATGGCTCTTGCCGAGTTAGATGAACTTCGGAAGCAACTCAAGGAGCTGACAGAGAAGGGATGGATTCGGCCTAGTACTTCCCCTTACGGATCACCCGTGCTATTCGTTCCGAAGAAGGGGGGTACTTTGAGGATGTGCATTGATTATAGGGGCCTCAATGCCATCACGGTGAAAAACGCAGAGCTTCTACCTCGCATAGACGACCTATTGGATAGAGTGTAGGGATGCAAGTACTATACAAAGATAGACTTGAAATCCGGATATCACAAGATCGCAATAAGACCTGAGGACCAGCACAAGCTTTTCAGACTAGATATGGTCTGTATGAGTTTGTAGTGATTTTGGTCTTTGTAATGCGCCGGGTACATTCCAGCACGCTATGAATCGGATCTTCCATGACCATTTAGATAAGTTTGTCGTGGTTTACTTAGACGACATTTTGATCTTTAGTAAGTCTGCCGAGGAGCATGCACATCATGTTGAGACAATTCTCTCACTCCTGCGATAGCACAAGTATAAGGTCAACATAGAGAAGTGCGAGTTTGGCCGCACTAAGATACTATACTTGGGTCATGAAGTATCCGCGGAGGGGATTAAGCCGGAAGATGCGAAGGTGGCTAGTAATCGAGACTGGCCACGACCTCAGACAGGCACTGAGATCAGATCATTCTTAGGAATGTGCGGCTGCTATAGGAACTTCGTCAAGATCTTTTCTACAGTCGCCTCTCCTTTGACTGATCTAACTCGACTTGACACACTGTGGGACTGGAGTGATGAGTGCGAGGGTGCTTTCAAGAGTTTGAAGCATGCACTCATGAATCATGAAGTTCTCATGGTTCCCGATCCGCAAAAGCCATTCATAGTGACTACTGACGCAAGCCAATATGGCATTGGCGCAGTGCTGGCTCAGCAGGATGGGAAAAAGTTGAGACGGATTGAGTACATGAGTAAGAAGATGCCATCGAAGAAGTTGGCTAAGTCCACCTACGAAAGGGAACTCTATGCTCTCTACAAGGCACTTGTCCATTGGAGACACTTCCTTCTAGGAAGGTTCTTCTATCTGAGGACTGATCATCAGACCCTCAAATGGATCAAGACTCAACCGGCTCTTTTTGATGCACTCAAGCGATGGATTGAGGTCATAGACCAATATGATTTCAAGCTTGAGTACCTGAAGGGAGAGTATAACAAGGTTGGAGATGCACTATCCCGTAGAGCAGACTACCTAAGTGCGCTAGTTCCTGAATTTGGCGTATCTAACGAAGTGACTCAATCATTGGTGGGAGTCTATCAGGAAGACCCTGTCACGATGGACATCATCCGCAAACTTCAGGCAAAAGACAAGGCCACATAAAGTGAGTTTGTGATGGTGGATGGGCTAATCTATCTTGATAAGGCCGGAGTAAAGAGATTGGTAGTTCCATCTAGTGAACAATTGTCATGACGCAACTGGGCACTTTGGCTACAAGAAGACGATTGCTAACTTAGCACAACGATTTTGGTGGCCTAGAATGTTAGATGACGTGAAGAAGTATGTTGAGACCTGTCAGGTCTGTTAGCGGGACAAGCGAACTCAAGCACCGCTTAGGTTATTGAAGCCGTTACCTATTCTTGATGGTCCAGGATTGAGTGTTTCCATGGATTTCATGGACACTCTTGTGACCAGCAAGAGTGGTAAGAGGCACATCTTTGTCATCATTGACCGATTCACCAAGTACGCTAGACTAATACCAATGCAAGAGACAGCCAGGACAGAATATGACATCAAGTTGTTCAAGGACAACTGGGTAAGGGACTTTGGTTTACCAAAGACCATCATTAGTAACCGAGATGTCCGATTTACAAGTGAGCTCTTGTGACCAGCAAGAGTGGTAAGAGGCACATCTTCGTCATCATTGACCGATTCACCAAGTACGCTAGACTAGTAACAATGCAAGAGACAGCCAGGACAAAATATGACATCAAGTTGTTCAAGGACAACTGGGTAAGGGACTTTGGTTTACCAAAGACCATCATTAGTGACCGAGACGTCCGATTTACAAGTGAGTTGTGGAAGAAGCCTGCGGAACAGATGGGCAGTCAACTTCAAATGACTTCAGGGAATCATCCCGAAGCCAAAGGACAAGCCGAACAGATGAATAGAGTTGTACAACACTTGCTGAGGCATTACATCAAGCCCAGCTAGGATGACTGGGATGAGCAGTTACCTCTCATCGCCAGCCTGTACAACAACGCTATACATAGCAGTACCGGCGTCAGTCCTAACCAGCTGCACTTGGGATGGAAGCCTAGATCAGCATTAGACTTCCTCCTACCTGAAAACCGACCTGCTGCAACTCCAGGCACACTTGAATACGGTGTGCAATATGAGAAGTTGCTGCAAGAGGCTGTTGAAAATATGAAGAAGGCTCAGCAAGCCATGATTGCTTCTGAAAATCAACATTGCAGGCAGTCCACATTTCAGGTAGGGGAACGTGTCTGGGTCAAGGCTAGTGAGTTAGGACATGAATTCTAACATCTCGCAAACTAATGCCCCAATACTTTGGTCCCTGGGAAGTCTTGGATGTAGTGGGAGATGAAATGGATGGTCCTAAGTACGGTATGTGTCCCTGGTCATCTACGCACTCACCCAGTCTTTCATGCCTCAAAGCTTGCACCTTTCGCTGAGACTGATCAATTCCCTTCCAGGAGATCGATGCTTCCCCCAACCATGGATGGACAAGTCAACATCGATGACATTGTGGATCACAGGGATATGCCTGTTCCGAAGCCGTTGGGTCGAGGAAGACCTCCTAAACCCAAGAGGGAGTACCGGATCAGATTCAGGCATCATGTGCTATCTGCTTTGGCTTTGAATACTTTGGACTTCAGTGTGATTTTGCATTCTGGATTTAGGAGGCACCTGCGTTCATTCTCAATGGGATGGTTACTCGGTTCCATGTGCTATCTGCTTTGGCTTTGAATACTTGGACTTCAGTGTGATTTTGCATTCTGGATTTCTGTGCTTCGTCCATACTCATGTTCCTTGCATTATTTAAATTTTAAACTTACTTTGACTTGTTTAATATGTGGTAATTTTGGTGTGTCCAACCACCTTTTTTTTTTTTTTTTGGCGCACTGCACAAGCGGATTACGAGTGTGTGTCTGCAGTGCTATTTATCGTTCGGCCACTGGTAGTGATTCATATTTTGTGAGTGCTCAAGTTGTGTCTAAGAGCGCCATCACACTAACACTTTCCTGAATATATCTCTGACTCCAAATATGGCTGGACACGGATACATCGCTTGTAATCAGGTCTAAAACTCAGTTGGAAAAAAAAAAGGCCGGAGGCTGGGCGCTGACCAAAGAGGCCGGCAGTGCCAGCCTAAAAAGGACACAAAAACGCCGTGGTGCTTTGACGAAGAGCTTGGCACGCAGTTCTACTCTGGCTCAGCAAAAGAAGCCCTTTCAGGAGCGCCGCCGTGGTGCTTTGACCAAAAGCTTGGCACGCAAGTGGCATTCAGGAGGTTCTGGGTTCAATCCCCATTGGCCTCATGTACCTTCCTGGGCAAGCTTGGCGCCCGCCACCTAGAGATATGCCGTTGGTCCCCCCGAGTGGCATTGAGCAGAGACTGCTGATGTTCATAGGGGGAGGGGACCGGAGGGGAGGCACAGTGACTGGCCCATCGAAGAAGCTCGGTCCTGATGCTACCGGCGGACCCCTGGCCGGTATCGCCCACCTGCTGTAGCAGGTATCGCACCTGCTGGTGGGTGCAGCTCCTGCATGCTCCCTCGTTGGAGGCTTGAGCACAGATGTGGCTGCTACGGGGTTCCCTGTAATACTATAATGACAATAAAAAAGGCCTGAAAGGCCGTCCTGTCCAGATTTGACAGGTAATTGAATTGGTTGGGCTTAAAGAATTAGCCTTAAAAAGCTTGGCACGCAGTTCTACTCCCGCTGGCTCAGCAAAACAAGTCCTTTCAGGTGTCCACTATAATTGTGACGATACAGAAGATTAACGCAGCCTGAGGTCCTGTTTTAAAGGGTTTTGCACTTGCACGCGCTCTCAAATCGAGAAATGGACGATTTGTGTTTTCAGTTTCCAGTCAGGTCTACCGGGGCCCTTTGTGTGAGAGTTGTGATGTGGGCTGTGTTGATGAGGATTCGAGGCATTGTTGAGAAAATGGACATTTAATGGAATTGCTTTTCAATTTTTTTTTAAAAATTATTATTATTATTATTATTATTATTATTATTATTATTATATTTTGTGCGTGCTTGATATAACTTTTCTCTCTATTTTCTCTTGCTGGTAAATCAGGGGATTCCTGTGAAGCCGGTGTATGCATCGGAGGATGTGCCGGAGGGGATTGGCGATGAAATGCCTGGTGTGTACCCTTTCACACGGGGCCCCTATGCGACAATGTACACACAGCGGCCATGGACCATCAGACAGTACGCAGGATTCAGGTGTGAATTCTATGCCAGGATTTAGTGGTCGGATTTTTTTCATATATATAGATGAGTCGGTGAAACTCCGACGAAACAGTTTGTCACAGCCCCTCGTTTGTTGTCCTCTTCTCCCTCTCTGCCTACGGTTTACCGGGCAGTTCTATTTGACGATATATATAATATAAATTATATAATATATATATATATACTGTGAAACAGAGCTGCCCGGTAAACTGTTGGCAGAGAGGGAGAAGAGGACAACAAATGAGGGGCTGTGACAAAATGTTTCATCGGAGATTCGCCGACTCATCAGGAGGCTCAACCCTATATAATGTATATACGTAATGAACGATCCCGTCATAACCTCAGAGAGGTCGGCACACTACGGAGGGGATAAACTGCCGACTAATGATCTGTCCCAATGTCGCAACTGCTTGGGCTCATAATGGTGGTGAAAACCATAATGCTCAAAGAGCCGGTATAGGTGGTTCGTGTGGATGTGACCATGATCCCATGTCTTATTCATTTCGTTGTCCTTTTACTTTCTCTTTAGTTCTCTGCTGTTTGGTTCGTGTGGATGTGACCATCATCCCATGTCTTATTCATTTTGTCTTCCTTGTTACGTTTCTCTCAAGGTAGTTCGCTACTTCCCGGAGTCGGCATTGAATGTTTCATGTGGATGTGACCATGATCCCGTGCATGATTCATTTCTTTTCTCTTTTACAAGTCGCTTTTCCCGTGGTGAGTGCATTCTCCGAGCGTATAAAGAGTCGGTATTAAATGTTTCATGTGGATGTGACCGTGATCCTGTGCATGATTCATTTCTTTGTTCTTTTACAAGTTACTTTTCCCGTGGGGAGTTCTCCGAGTGTACGAATTGGCAGCCTCCCGCACAGTGGAGCGCGTCTGACTTTATAAAAGAAAACTTAGTCAGATTTCACACACTGCTTACTCTATGGAAGGGGGTGTGGCAGAAAGCCTGTAGAGGGAGCCGCGCCGTGTTGCAAATGTTTTTTTTTTTTTTTTTTTTGCGTATGAAGTTGCATTTTCAAGACTGAATAAAGTGTAGAAAAGTGTCCTTGGCGACGTCTGAAAAAAAAATGGAATGATACAGAGAAAGAAGATTAGCATGGCCCCTGCACAATGATGACATCGTGACACACACATAAATCGAGAAATGGTCCAATTTTTTATTAAGAGAAAAAAAAACGGAGTAGGTTTAAATCTTTTTCACCCTCGAGTCTTGAGAAGAAAAAAATTGTTAGGCAACAAATTTTTAACTTTATTGCCAAGCTCTATCTTTCAGGATATTCTTCTCAAATTACATACAAAAAAATTAGGACAAATATAATGTACCAGCCTACCAGGTTTACGAAAAATCTGACAATCCTGACTTTTTTTTTTTTTCATTTCTGAATCTCTGATACATTTTCACATGTTTTTGAGAGTACTGACCTTTCTGATGAAAAAATGATACTGACATAAAAAGTTAAAAACCTGTTGGTGGGAAATGTGCACTCCAGTACTGCTGAAGAGTCGAACGCCTTTTATCGGAGGAATTTGGCAGCAGGCCAGAAAGGTCTCAGCGTTGCATTTGATCTTGCTACTCACAGGGGGTAAGCAAAGCAAAGTTGCCCAAGTACTCGAAAGCTCGAAACGCTATCCTAAATCCCAAGCCCAAGAACCCTCTAAACCCTAAACCCCAAATCCCAAACCCAGAAGCCTAAACCCTAAACCCCAAACCCCAAACCCAAGAATCCAAAACGCTCCCTTAACCCCAAACCAAAGAACCCTAACCCCTAAACCCCAACCTCCAGACCCTAATGTTCAAGAACCCCAAACCCTCCCTAAACCCCAAACCCTAAACCCTAACCTTGTGCAAGAACCCTAAACACTGAACCCTTCCTAGACCCTAAACGATTGATTGAAGAGCAAAGCGAAGAGAACGTAAAAGAGGTGAGTTCTGGGCAGAGGGTTGAACTGCTTGGTCAGAGATACATCAGTTTCATGCCTGTGAAGCATTTTGCGGCATTTTTTCCCAATCTCGCTACTCATGTGCGAGGTGACAACAAGAAAAGAACTTGGAGCATGTAACTGATGACAGAGGACACTAGCTAGGTAACCGAATACTAGGCAGATTGTACGGATACGAAGCAGTGGGTGAGAACGTATACCAGATAACAAAATGAACCTAATCATGTAACTGTGCAAGGTGCATTATCTGGTGATCATCCTGTGTCTCTACTACTCTCTAGGAGACGGCGATCTCATACGGTCGCCCCCATGCAAACGCACATAGTGAGCCAAGGAATACGAAACATAGCAGCCCACTTGAGAGTTGCAAGCCATGCAGATGACAACCCAGTACACCACAGTTCACAAACAGCAAACGAAGCAAACGAAACCATATACTGAGAGAACCCAACACTAAGCGAAGTCGCAAAGTTTGGTTGACGAATCTCTGGTGAACGACAGCATCAAAAAACACTGTAGACGACTGGTATGTTGCAGTAGTCTATTCCACTGTTCCCTTTAACCGACACCCTAGTAGTCTGTTCTGTGTGCATAGTTGCCAATAGGTGGGAAGAGAGAGAGAGAGAGAGAGAGAGAGAGGGTTTTTTGGAAGGCCAAAAATTCAGTGTTTTTCGGCGCATCGCAACAAGCAACATGGTGGAAAATTTTGGAGATAAACAATGCAGGCTCGTATGCAAGGAATATGAGCAAGAGCGGTAGACAGAAACCCAAGTTGGAAAGTTGCGAAGCAGTCCAGATGGTCATGTACCAAGCAGAAAGCACAATGCACCAAGATTCCATCCACATAAGAGCAATCCAAAGAACTGTTGGTGCCGATGCCGACACTCCTGGTCACATCAACAATGTATCCAATGTCTCTCCTACTGTCGGGCGCTCAGCGCCCAGCCTACTCTACTCAGCCTATCTAGCCTATCTATATAAGTGACCGGATCATACGAAGTCGAAGACCAATGTCCTGAAGTCAGCACCAACGCCGACCACCAGCATACACCAGGTATGTTCTCTCTCGTCCCCTCGTCACCGCTTGATCACCTCCTCATGCGTCTCCTATCCGAAGTCCACCATCGCCATCACCTGCGTTGCGCCCCTGCAGCCCTGCTATGGCTGCTGTGCGCCTGCTGCCTCGCAGCGCCCGTCTCCCCTAAGCGCCCGTGCGGGAGCACGACCCGCAACGCCCATGCAAACACTTGCGCAGCAACGCAGCAGCATGTCCGCATTGCCTGCCAAGGCCAGACTGTATCTCCCAGGGGCTCACACTGTCCTTTGTGGAAAAGGAAAGTGTGCCACTGCTGGCTGTCCTGGCCAGGCATGTGGGTGCCCTGTAGCTTCAGTTCGGCCCCAGGTGTCTGCGCCCAGGCCCAGTTTCCGAAACTGGACTGGGCTTTGTGCAGTTAGGCACATCTAGGCAGCCTGCCTCCAAGTGTTTGCAGCATTCTCATTGGCTTGCGATACATGTGTGACGACTGCTGCTTCCTCATTGGCCCGTAACCAGTTCGTGATGTGTTGGCGGTGTGTGCCCAGTGTGCAACTGCCTGAGCCCTTGGCTCAACTGTACAGCGCAGCCTTTTGCTTCTGGAAAGAGCCTGGAGGCTCACGATGGTCTGTAACCAACGGGCGTGCTGCAACTGTCTGAGTACCCACATATGGAAAAATTGTCGAGAACAGGCCTCACATATTCAGTCTCGCCTTCACTTAGGGCGGGCACGAGGCTTGCTGGGGCCCACAGCCCAGAACACTTGTATGCCTGATAAGGGCTCTGCGAGGCTTATTCCTCGCACATAATACAAATACCAAAAATCAAACAGGTAACGGGGAGAGAGAGAGAGAGAGAGAGAGAGAGACCTAAGTGGTGTTTAGTGTCTACTGAGAAAACTTTCCAGCTGTCTATCATTTGGCACACAAGGAATTGAATGAAGAAGCGATGGCGGATTGTATTCTCATTTCATGTTGGTCTGAAGCTCTGTCCTCCAAAAATTCTTTTGTTGCCATTGCAAGCTCTCTTCAGTCGTAAATCCAACGATTGTGCTGTTGCAGGTACGACTCAGATCATCCACGAGTGTCTGGTGATGTGGGAATGGCGGGAGTGGCCGTCGATTCGGTGGAGGATATGAAGCGGCTGTTCGATGGAATCCCTCTCGACCAGATGAGTGTGTCCATGACTATGAATGGTGCCGTGCTTCCGATAATGGCAATGTTTATCGTGGCAGCGGAGGAGCAAGGTATATACTAGGTAGTAGTAACCTCCTGTCACTGTTTTTGTTTTTCTTTTTTCTTCTCGTTTTTTCATTGTACATGAGTAGTCTGCCGTCCTTCCCTTTTGCAAGGGCAAGGGCAAAGATGCAAATTGTAGCACACTCAATACACAGTCAGTCATGCAGACGATCACCAAAGACCTGCTACGGTGGGCTTGCCGGCTAGTTGAAGATGCTGCACAGGCCCCCATTCTGCTCACATTGGCCTGTGCTCGGGCCTGGCCTCATTTTTGCAGGCTTGTCGTCACTTTCCAGGGCGGCCAGGCCCTTTCCTGGCTGACCGAAGTGCTGAATCCCATCGGGAGATGGATGCCTCTCACCAGCATCTTTTAAGAACATTTTTAAGGAAGGGCGGCAGTATTGAGGTAGCATAAGCGAACTGACAGGCCCAGGCAATCCAGAGTGGAGTTGTTCCGTTCATTTGATCGCGCCTGGATATCAATTAAGGTTTGTATATCGCCAACTAATGGGTGGTGCACCAGTCAGCCACATGGGCTGGGTATTAACATCCATGGGTGTATCATGCAGCACACATCCAGTCTTCCGATCTTTGATCCACCAGTACCAATCCACCAGTACCTTACCCAGCTGTTTTACGGAGATGTGCCAGGTAATGCTGGGGCCATGGGGGGGAGGGCCACCATCGATGAATGGAATGGGCGGCCCGTTTTTTTGTTTCGGCCTTCTGAAACTTCCCGCGGCCGACATATGGGGAAGTTACTGGTGGTTTACATTGGTAAGGAACTTTGAAATGAAATATTGCACCATTAGGAAGGAATTTTGAAATACAGAGTCGTTATTATAGACCCTTAGGCAAAAGGTTGCAATTCTGCACACCTGTGTTTCAAAACTCGTCACAATATTTTCGTATTCTTTCTACTCTTTCGTGCTTGTTTCTTTTTCTTTTTGTTTTTTTTGCTTTTTTAAAGTTGGGATTGCAAAGCGGCACCTTGTCTGCCCTTCTCCTGGCTGGACTCGGCCTGATTGGCCACACTGGGGCACATCTGTGCGAATGGGGGGCATTGATGTGTCCGCCTCCCGATGGGGTTCCAGTAGGAAATGCCTCCCTAACTTTTGTTTGTAGTTCTTGAGAATGAGTCGACTGACTCAAGTCCCTGATGTGGAATCGAGTTCAAGGCTGTAGCTCGGCAGTTACGGGTCACCAATTCAGCTAGAGCCTGTTCGTGTCTCCACGTGATTCTCAGGGCCTCCCTCCACCACTCACCAAATGTATACAATATTAGTAGAATGAATCTTGTGCTAGAACATGGAACCATACACCGCCATATGCGATGTCTTTTGTGCATGTGGTGAGTAGTGGAGCAGGCCCCACTGTTTGTATTCGTAAGAAAACAAAAACAAAAAAACTAGTGCTCCCTCCACCACTCACCAAATGTATATAATATTAGTAGAATGAATCTTCTGCTAAAACATGGGACCATACACCGCCATATGCTATTTCTTTTGTGCATGTGGTGAGCAGTGGAGCAGGCCCCACTGCACCTATTCATAAGAAAACAAAAACATAAAACTGAGAGAGCTACAGGCATCTTCATCCTAACCCATAACTGCCGACATGCAGACCTGAACGCCAGTCTTCAGCATATATTGGTGGTCGGCCAGCCGTGGAACTGCAAGTTGTGACTTCTGCGAAGTTCGCGGGGCAGGTCGTTACTAGGCGACTACCCCCGTCTTGCGAACTTACCCCACCACTGCGTGGGATTTGCAGAAGAGAGGGGCAAGGCCAGTTTCCATACCCCGCCCAAGAAAAAAGTTGGAATGAGCCCTATTTTATGCTTTGCCATTTTGAAACTTTCTGGGGGTAGAGCCTGCGGAAATTGAAATTCGGCAGCCCTTGCCCAAAAAAAGAGTTTGGGCCGGGGTGTGGCCAGTTTGCAAGCTCGTGTGGTGCGTTTAACATTTTTGCCGAGATGGGGACCGTAAGGAATGACAAAAATCCTTTTTTTTTTTTTTTTTTTTGGACCTAATTTTTACAGCGCGGTGCGCTTGGGTGAGGTGCGCTTGGGTGCGCTGTGCGGTGTGCTGCGCGCGGTGTGCAACACGTGCGCAAATCCGCGCACCGAGGTGCGCCGTAACTATGGTTTTACTATATTGGCATGTATGTGTGACGTGCATACATTGCAAAAAACGCGAGGAGTAGGAAGAAGTCGAGCTGAGGGTTAACAACAACTTAACACTCAATTTAACTAATGATTGGCTGAGGGTTAAGTATGACCTGTATAGGGGAGACTTGACCCGACTTTATAGACTGTGACATGGTCACGACATGCAACTAACCGTGAGTGGTTGGGGCAGGTGTTGAGCTGAAGAAATTGTCGGGGACTATTCAGAATGACATTTTGAAGGAGTACATGGTACGGAATACCTATATCTACCCGCCGGAACCGAGCATGCGCATCGTCGGAGATATCATGGCCTTCACAGCGAAGAACATGCCACGCTTCAACTCCATCTCAATCTCGGGGTACCACATGCAAGAAGCTGGAGCAGACAGGTCAGTTTCCATCAGGACGCCCCCCTCTTTCCTTCATACTTCCTTTGCTAGATTTTGCTGAGGGTCTTGGAGAACACAAACAAACATGCAACAAACAAACAAACAAACAAACAAACAAACAAACAAACAAATGAACAAACGAAACAAACAAACAAACAAACAAACAAACAAACAAACAAACGAACAAACGAACAGAAAAGTACAGAAGTGAACGAACAGTCAGAATGAAGAAAAGAAAACTAAAGGACGCAATGAAGTAAAATAAAAATTGAAGCAGAATGAAATGGAACAAGTAAGACGGAACTAAATATGTATAAGTAAGCATTGTTGCAGTAGTGTGGTGTTTTTCCCCCTTGTGCTCTATTCTTGAACCAGTACAGGAGGCCAACATGGCTCGCTCTGTCATATGGGGTGCTTCTACTGATTCTGCTGTCATTAATTATTTGATTGATCTCTTGAACAGTTAAGATGGCTTTTCTGAGAGAGCTGACCTCGTGTGTTTTGGCTTCTAAATTCTAATGCCATCTCGAAAAAAACACTATTCCCATTGGAATATTAGCAATATAAGGCATCTCAAATTCTTTCTCTAAATATTTGGCAGTCGTTAATCCAAGGTGCCTTCAAGAATTCACTGTTGACTCGTGTTGAGCAGGAACTTGAGCGAGCTAAGGAAGGTTTTCCATGTTCTCGGCTGTCAACGATCTTTATGAAACGGCGATGGTCTGTCTGAAACGGCGAAGATCTGTCTCAAACGGCAGAGATCTGTCTGAAACAGCAACGATCTGTATGAAACGGCAATGGTCTGTCTGAAACGGCAATGATCTGTCTCAAACGGCAGGGATCTGTCTGAAACGGCAACGATCTGTATGAAACAGCAACGGTCTGTCTGAAATGGATATCTGTCTCAAATGGTCGAGACCTGTCTGAAACGGCAACAATCTGTCTCAAGCGGCAGAGATCTGTCTGAAACGGCTTCATATATTTGTGTAGGTTCTGAGCAGTTCTGAAGGGGGTGTGGCAAGGTGTTGGTTATCTTTTTTGTTCTGGAGGCTGTGAAGCGAGGTTGGGATGCGCTTTCCTCGGTTTTGTCTTATTCTATGACGGCTGACTTCAATGGTATTTGTTGTGTCACTGTCGGTGTCTGCACTGCAGTGCTGTGGAGATGGCATTCACCATAGCCGATGGCCTGGAGTATGTGCGATGTGCGGAAGCAGCAGGGCTCAATGTGGATCAGGTTGCACCGAGGTTCTCTTTCTTTTGGGCAATCGGCATGAACTTCTACATGGAGGTAGAATTCCCCGGAGTCCCTACGAAGCCTGTGGCTCAACTACACACACACATACGACCTGCATGCCTTCCTAGTAGTTCCTACAGGCAACCTCACAGGAGGATTATGTATGACTTCACCGCAATGATGGCCGAAGTTGGGCGAAAGAATGCGTAATGGTAGCATGGTCTAAGAGGCAGTCGAGTATTTTGTTTCACCGTGCTTTGTGAAGTATCCGGCTTTTGTGTCGACCTACCTCTGTCCTCTCTGCTGGGTTCTTGTCTAACCTTCTTTTTTTGTTGTTTTGTTGTTGTTTGCTTGTGTGTTGTTCAAACTTTTGTTTCTTTGTTTGTTTGTTTGTTTGTTTGTTTGCTCTTGACTGTTTCCCTGTGTGTGGGCACATCATTGCAGATTGCCAAGATGCGGGCAGCTCGCCGCCTCTGGGCAAAGCTTGTGAAGGTATTTCAAATGCTTAACTTTTGTATTAGTATTTGCTCATGGAGTTGCAATGAAGATGATTCCCGAATTCTTTGTCGACCATCCTCTTTCTTTCTGACTCACGTGAAAGCTGCGTCACCAACCGGGGCGGCTGGGTCACCTTGACTGCCCAGGTGGCCGGGCGGGCTAGAGGAAGGGAAGGCCCCTGCAAACGAAAGAAAAAAAAGAAAAAACTTCAAAAAAGGAAAAAAATGTTTTGCAGGGAAGACATTTCCTTGAAACGGTTTTCACCTTTACGGTAGCTGATGCCATTCCCAGGGCTCGATCCCTAGACCTCGCCCTTGTGTACAGTATCAGTTGCCCCATGTGTGTTTGAACTCGCGACGTGCCTTGAAAGTTGCCTGTTTGCTTGTTGTAGGTAGGGTGGTCGTCGGGTCTTGAGCTGTAGGTCTGTAGGTTAGAGGTCTTAGCAGTGGTAGGAGTCGTACCTGCTGCAGTGTTGAAAGGTCAAGTTGTAGCTGCTACAGTACCGCAGGGTCAAAGTCCACAGTCTTCGGGAAGGTCCGGAAGTGGCCCTTCGTGCAGTACTAGGCTACAGTCAGTAGGCAAGTGGGCAGCAAGTACCATGTGGGACTGTGTGCACCCGGGCCCAGGGTCCAAAAGGCAGACATTTGACAATCTCAAGTATAAATCAAGAGGCACCGTCAACTCATGCATTCATTCTGCCTGTGAGCCGTGCGGAAGTGCTGCCTGAGCAACTTGTGCAAGGTGGTCTGCAGGTGCCCGTAGGAGAAGTGGGCAGAGAGGAAGGAGGCGACATAGCTGCTGGTAGTGTTAGTGTTAGGAGAGAGACTAGCTATAGCTGCCATGTCAGCAAGGTTAGAGTGTTAGTGCGTGTGTGTGTGTGTGTACGAGTGTGCGTTTGTGTGTGCGGGACATCCAGGGAGATCCAGGGTGTGTGTATGAACAAGTTGCTGTGAGTGCAGCATTCCATTGAATGAGACAAGTTTGAATCTGAACTGTGTTCGTGGCTTCGTTATCTCTGAGCTTTGTGTGGGTGCTAGTCGCTAGCTTGATCGTCATCTGTTCGTATGCATGCTGAAGGTCGAAGTCAAGAAGTCTGATTGCAGCCTCAGGGTCACACCGAAATTCTTTGCCAAAAAACTAAAACAGGGCTGTGTCGGCAACCAGCCGGTTGGACCGGACCGGACCGGTCCCAACTGGGCCGGTTGGACCCCTGGTGGTCCAACCAGAATTCTGGTTGGGCCCAAAAGTGGGTCTAAAATTTCTTATTTATTTATTTTTTAAACAAGGTTGGACTGCACTCACCGAGATCTCCCTGAATCCGGTTAGAAAACTTTGCACAGAGATTTGTGTTTTTTTTTTGAGGGGGGGGGGTATCTCAGGGGTTGGGGGTCGGGGGTTAGGGGGGTTGTGGTGGTGTGGTTTCAGCAAGCACGGGCTTGGGCGACAACGTATCTGGCTTTCTGCAAACGTTGACAGACGCGTACCTGCAGAAGAAGAAGAAGAAGAAAATATTGAAAGAAAAAGATGACAAACTCTGAAGTTCTGAACTTGTTTCCAGATCATCATTTTGTGTCACGAAATCTAGAACCTCTCTCTCTCTCTCTCTCTCTCTCTCTCTCTCTCTCTCTCTCTCTCTCTCTCTCTCT